ATTGACGTGCTATTCAAAAGCCATTTTGATTTTGCTGCTTACTTTATCTCCAGAAACAAGGCGTGTCCCGTTAGTACTCCAATTCAGGACTGAAATATCAGCGTTATGATTGGAGGGCACAGCATGATGCTCCTTGTCTTGTTTATTCACTACTACCACATCTCCCATCTCACAACCCACGGCCACAATCAATTTGGAAGGGTGCCAACTGAGATACGTGACCCGAAAGTTTTTTTCCAAGTGTGCATCACCCACATACTCTCCCTGGGGGATGAAAAAAAGGAAAGACAGATCAGTATCATTTTAATATATATATAAAACACACACACATACACTTCTCTCCCCCCTCTCTATTTTTGAGAATATATATATACACACACACACACACACACATATATATGTATGTATGTATAGTTTCTCAACCATATCAACTTTAAGACAAGTGGACTTCAACTCCCAGAGTTCCTCAGCCAGCATTAGCTGGCCTAATCCTTCAATACATCTCAGGCTCTCTAAATAAATTGTATATATTAATTTTATATATTATGCAGGTAATGCAAAAGCCTGGCACTTGATTAGCCCAAGACAACCATTAGTTTTAGAACACTTGCCTGTTCTTGGAAAATATCCACACTGCCACCAGAGTTTGCATTAATGGATGCAACAGCTAAAAGTGGCTGAAGACGGTGCCACGTTATGTGGGTGTGGGGTCCACAGGACTCAAGAGCTTCTATTCGATGATCAATGTATACCGCCATAGTCAGACCACCTATGAGACAAAGTATTTATTGTATAAACAGCTGAAGAGTGAGAGCCAAATATGAGACCGAAAGGCAAATTATACGTTGAAACATAAACTGAAGAAATAAAAAATAAATGTTCTTTGCACATGGAAGGAATTAATCCCACCCATTATTTATCTCTTAATTTAATGATATATATTTTGTTTTCTTTCCCTGTCCTCCCACCAGGAGCAGAAGGAAAAATGCACAGAGGGCAAATTCTTGTTTTCCACCATCTACACGCAGGTTAAGGATGCTCAAATTTGCTCCAACTGAAATGTGGGAGAAATTAAGACTCCAAGCAAGCAAATTGTACAAATCATGATCCATCGTAAGAGTGCTGTTCCTGTTCAAAAGCTGTCCAGAATCCTCTGGAGTGAGTGGCCATATCAAATCAAATCCATTAAATTAAATGTTGCAGATATTTGCATTTGAAAGGCAAGGAGGAGGTGGTAGAGATGAGGACCCAGATTGTTGGGGGAAATTTGTTGACACTGTAAACCGCTTTGAGTGTGGGCTGTAAAGTACTGTAAAGCGGTATATTAGTCTAAGTTCTATTGCTATATCATTTTTTAAAAAAAAACAACTAAAATCTCTTATCAATCAACTCCACAGTCTAGTCTAATATTTACAGACCCCTCACATCCTGGACATAAATTCTTTCAACTCTTATCCTCAAAACGACTCTATAGAGCACTGCACACCAGAACAACTAGATACAAGGACAGTTTTTTCTCAAATGCCATCACTCCGCTAAACAAATAATTCCCTCAACACTGTCAAACTATTCACTAAGTCTGCATTGCTATTAATCTTCTCATCCTTCCCATCACCCATCTCCTCCCGCTTACGACTGTATGACTGTAACCTTGCTGCTTGTATCCTTACGACTTATATTGATTGTTTCCTAGTATGATTTGATTGCTTATTTGTACCCTATGACTATCATTAAGTGTTGTACCTTATGATTCTTGACGAACGTATCTTTTCTTTTTATGTACACTGAGAGCGTATGCACCAAAAACAAATTCCTTGTGTGTCCAATCACACTTGGCCAATAAAGAATTCAGTTCAGTTCAGTTCAGTTCAGTTCAGTTCAGTTCAGTTCATTCAGTTCAGTTCAGTTCAGTTCAGGTCAGGTCAGGTCAGGTCAGGTCAGGTCAAGTCAAGTCAAGTCAAGTCAAGTCAAGTCAAGTCAGTCGTCAAGTCAAGTCAAGTCAAGTCAAGTCAAGTCAAGTCAAGTCAAGTCAAGTCTAGTCTAGTCTAGTCTATAGCTCTGAGATTTCCTGGTGGTGTCTTGTCCAAACACTAGTCTAGTCTAGACTAGTCTAGTCTAGTCTACAGCTCTGAGATTTCCTGGTGGTGTCTTGTCCAAACACCAACTAGATCTGATTCCACTTTGCATTTCTTCCAAATGAATGGCGACGGGCAGCCTAAAAAAATAACACACAAGCACACCTAACGATTTTTATTCCCTTGTTTTATTAAGTTTTTATGCTGCCCATTTCTCTTACAGGGCAGACCATGCAAGCATAGATTCCGCCAATCACTAGGAAATAAATCAACCACAAACATTGCACAGGTCCTCCTGCCTGCCCCATATCTGGACCTGCAAGTCTTTAAACGTCTCAACCTGGAGAGCTTGAGGTTGTCGGGTGGACTTCAACTCCCAGAATTCCCCAGCAAGCCTTGCAAGGCTGAGGAATCCTGGGAGTTGAAGTCCAGCCCATCCACAAGCGGCCGAGATTGAGAAATCACTGCTTTTTAAAAACCTTAGGAAGGGCCAGGAGAGATGATAAAGATTGAGTGGGGGGAAATTAAGATTAATTAAGGGTTCTCCCCACCCACCCCCGCGATCCCACCCCATTGGAGGATCTCCTGTACGGCAGTTAAGCCCAGTTCGATTCCCATAGACGCGGCCGTCTTTGCTTTCCTGTGGGATGTTTCCCCGACCTGGCAGCTCAGGGATCTCCTGGTGGCCTCCCATCCATGCTTCCACAAAAGCCGCGCTTTCCCTTCAGGAGCGGGGTGGGGGGGCAGGCAGGGGCATATAGAAAGCACCCTCGGAGCGCGAGCTGGGCCGGAGCTGGGCTTTTTTGTCCGGTCCCCCACCGAAAAGGCCTCGGAAGCAAGCGAAGGCGAGTCCTCCACCGCCATCCCGGACTTGGCCGACTTTACCTGGTCTCGGTCCGGTCAGGATCCGATCGAGGCCTGCTGGGCCGCTCGAAAGGAGAGGCTTCGCGTTGCCCTTGGCAACGGCGAGCGCGCGCGAGCCCGTCCGCCACGGAAATCCCCGAAGGAGAAGCGAAGAGAGCCGAACGGGGGGGGGAAGGAGGCGGAAATTGCCGAGCGCTTTCGCGCATCGCTTCTTCGGCAAGGCGGTGGAAGAGGCGCTCTTGGGGTTTGCAAAACTGATTTTTTTTTTTTCCCTCTCTCTTTCTCCCGTTTTTGGACTTTCTGCCCAAACAAGTAATTAAAACACACACACACACACAGGGTTTTTTTGCTTATAGGTTTTGTTGTCCAACAAGCCAAGACGCTTCGGTCTCTTGGCTTGTTTTGAGAACAAATCGCGATAAGGTGGTTCTGTTTTTCTGTGCTGAAATGCCCCTCCCCTGCCTTTTCAGTGGCGGTATTTTATTTACAAATAAGAGAATGACAAGAGTAGGAAGGGACCTTTAGGTCATCTAGTCCAACCTCCCCCACTACCCCCCTTGGCGGGGAGTGGGAGCAAGCAGGGGACCCTACACCGTTTCTGACAGATGGCAGTCCAGTCTCTTCTTGAAAGCATCCAAGGATGAAATAAGTAAATAAATCCATTTCTATCTTATATCTATCTATCTATCTATCTATCTCTATCTCTGTCTGTCTGTCTGTCTATATCTATCTATCTGTCTATCTTCTGTCTGTCTATCTATATCTATTTGTCTGTCTGTCTATCTATCTATCTATCTATCTCTATATCTATCTATCTATCTATATCTATCTATCTGTCTATCTATATCTTCTGTCTGTCTGTCTACCTATCTATCTATATCTATCTATATCTATATCTATATATCTGTCTATCTATCTATTTATCCATCTGCACTACTATTAATTTTCTCATCGTTCCCACCACCCATGTCCTTCCACTTATGACTGTATGACGGTAATTTTGTTGCTGGTATCCTTACGATTTATATTGATATTGTTTCCGGATTGTTTATTTGTTCCCTATGACTATCATTAAGTGTTGTACCTTATGATTCTTGACGAATGTATCTTTTCTTTTTATGTACACTGGGAGCATATGCACCAAAGACAAATTCCTTGTGTGTCCAATCACACTTGGCCAATAAAGAATCCTATTCTATTCTATTCTATTCTATTCTATTCTATTCTATTCTATTCTATTCTATTCTATTCTATTCTATTCTATTCCTATCTCTTATCTATCTCTCTAACTCTCTCTCTCTCTCTCTCTCTTTCTCTCTTTTACTCCTATAACTATAAATTATAGTTCCTCTTCCAAAGATAACAGAAAGCCTGTGGTCTCGAAGATGTGATTACTTTTTATAACAGCAATAGCTTTCATGGAATAAAGTTCGCTTATAATTGCGAACAGATACGCATCACATCGATAGGGCACACTTCGCAGGGTAAAAAAACCAGGACTGCAACCTTTTTTAAAAATCCCTCCACCTTTTTCACCATTGGTCTTCTGCCCTGCCCATCCGACAGGAACCAGCCAATTCACGATCCTCCTCCCAAAAAAATAGTGACCTAATCCCCTCCCCTTTCTGAATCCCCGCCCATCCCTTCCTCGGAGCCAATGTAGCTCCTTGTCTCCATCACTTCCGGCACGACTTGGCTTGCCCTTCCAATCTCTCTCTCTCTCTTTTTCTCTCTCATCCGGCATCTCCTCGCGCGCTGGGCCGTGTCCCGTGTCATCTGTCGCGCGCGCGGCGCCCCGATTGGCCCAACCTTTCCTTCCGCGACCTCCCCCTTCTTTCGACGCCGACCAATGAAAATATTTGTTTGGGAGTAAGGGAAAAAAAACAACACAAAACCACACCTCTTTCCTGCTCCTCCCCCCTCCCCCCCCTTTCCCTTCCGCCTGCCTTTTCCTTTCTTTCTTTCTTTCTTTCTTTTTCCCCGCCCCTTTGGAGGCGTGGCTTGTCTCGAGCTCTCCGGGCTCGCTCTCTCTCCCATCTGTGCGCGGCGCGTGGCTGCAACGAGGAAGCGGAAGCAAACCGGGGAGCTCGCGGGGCAGGCAAGCAGCGGGCGGGCGTTTTGCAAAGGCGGCCGCCTTGCCGAGGAGTTTTGCAGGGGCGGAGAAGCCGCGCAAGGGGCGGCTGGCCGGGATCGGTTGCCCTGCCGCCGCCGGTGCCGGAGGATTCCCATGCATCAGGTAGGAGACCAACGCCCCGGTGGCTTTGCATACCCGGTAAGGAAGGGGTGGGTGGGTGGGTCTCCTCGCCCGTCCTGCAAAAAAAAATAAAACAATTGCAACCCCATCAAAAGGGCGTGCAATGCAATATATCGGTTCCTATTGACTTTTCACCCGTATCTCGCCCTTTGCAAGGTTGGATATTAATTTATTTTATTATTTGTTTATTTATTAATATTTGACAAGCAATGTATAAAATAACGGATATAAGTCTATCCCGCCGGCGGGATGCAGAGAGGAGTTTTATATGGGGATGTCACAAACACACACCCCACACCGCCTTCTCCTCTCCCCCCCCCCCAGGCTGGGCTTCCTTAAGGGGTTAGGCAGCTTGCACGGGTGGTCAGCCTTGCACCGTGGAAGCGAAGGAGGAAGGGCGTTTTGGATTAATTCCCCCCGTTAAGTGTGGGTGGGGGGGGGAAAGGGGGGGAAGGTGTCATCAGAGGGGAGGGAGTAAGAGCCATGGCGGGAGTAAATATTGACCGACCTAGTAAAGTGAAGAGCAGAGATGTCGGTGCAATGGGGAGGGGGTGGGTGGAAAAATGAGTGGGGAGGATGCGGGAAGGGATGGAAATCTGGCAGCCAGGTGGAAGGGAAAGGATGGGATAAAATTCAATTATTATTTTTATTATTTTTATTTTGATGATGATGATGCAGTTGGGCGTGTTCAAACGGGCCAGTTGCTCCTGTCTGCTGACAATGCCACTTCCCCCATCTGCCTTTGCTTGCATCATTCATTCATTCATTCATTCCCCTAAAATATCTTAAACAGCAATATTCAATCGATTATTGAAGGTGATCTTTGCTTATTGGCCCATGGATTTGTTTCTCTGCTTCGGTGAAACCGGGGGAGCCAGTTCTGCAGATGTGTTGATTTTATCATGCTGGATGGTTTTTTGTTTTTTGGTGCGGCCATTTTTGAAACTCTCTCAAGGCTTAAAACGAACTGAGTCTATATCCCCCCCAAATGAATAAAAAAAAAGGTGCACCAAGAATGTGATCCTTTTTGTTTGCCTTCTAATGCTTTGGGGCATTTGTAGTTCCAATGAAGTTACGGAGCTTCCATCTTGGTATCCAGTTTTGAAAATGGGCATTTAAAAAAATATTCTGTATTCAAGTGCTCCCAAGTGAAGCTTAGGCAAGGAATGTCTATGCGCTGTTTGTCTTGAAAGGTTATATTCTTTGGAGGTGCTGAATCTTTTGGCTAAAAGCAACTTTCTACTACTGTTCTTGTTATGCTGATGGGTGTTGAGTTGCAATTTCTAATTGAAAATATCCTTACAGTGTGTTTGGTGGCAAATAAGGACCACTTTTAATTCTCAATATACCCTGAAGAGTGCTTAATTTTTCAGGGTATATTTCCAAACGTCTGATAATTTCTATGAAATGTGTGATAGAAGTTGAAAGAGATTTTGCTTTGCATCTTTTCCAGTGTTGTCCTCTGCGTGTATTTTTTTATTTTTTTAAAAAAGAGGAGGGGGTAGTTAATTTATGTGGTTAATATTGGTTTGCAGGCTTTGTGCCTAGAAGGTTAGGGTTGGTTTTTGTTTTGTTTTTTAAAAAAGCAATGACCCAAGGGATACAATTGTCCCCCCCCAAAAAAAGTATGGATTACCCCTTCCACAAAAACCTGGCAAGCGAATGCCCCCCTCCCCTGATTTGAAAAGATGCCACAAGGGCATCTCAACGTTGGGCAGCCATTGATTCCCAATAGCGAAGGGGGAGAAAGGGAAAGGGGAAAGTGTTATATATCCACCTCCTTTGCAAATAAAAAAACCCTCTAAACTCCCCTAACCCACTCTAAGTTATCTAGCCTCCCCCCACCCCCAATAAACCCCCTCCCCAACCAATAAAAGCTGCTCTCCAGCTTCCCCAAATGCAAGAAGCAAGGAAGTTCACTACAGAGGTTGGGTGGGTGGGAAGGCAATGATGGGGTGTGGGGAAAGGAAAGGGGAAAGTGCTATATACCCCCCTCCTCTGCAAATTAAAAATTTAAAAAAAAATCTCTAAACTCCCCTAACCCACACTAAATTGTCTAGCCTCCCCCCACCCCCAATAAACTCCCCCTTCCCACAACCAATAAAAGCTTCTCTCCAGCTTCCCCAAATGCAAGAAGCAAGTAAGTTCCCTAAAGAGGGTGGGTGGGTGTGAAAGGCTGGCTTTCCTAGGGGGGGGGGTGCCTTCTCCACCCACCCACCCACCCCTCAAACCTCCACCCCCTCCCACCTCCAGGCTTTTGTTCGCCTCCCTCCCTTTGCAAAAATAAAAAAAAAAGGAGGGGAATTGCGCGTGGCTTTTTTTGCAAGGAAGGAAAAAAGAGGGAAGGCGGGGGGGGGTTCTTCCTTTTCTTTTCTTTTTTTGGAAAGAAAAAAAAGAGTTGGGAATCTTTGCACTCCCCTCCCTACACCCCCCCCCCGTCCAGGAGACACACACACACACACAAACACACACCCAGGAGCGCGCACACCCTCGCTCGCAAACGAGGAGGAGGCAAAAAAAAACCAACAACTGCTTGCTGGGTTGCTGCAGCGAGGATCATCATGAACGCCCCCCCTTCGGGAGCTCGCCTCGCCTCGGCTCCATGGTGAGGAGAAGGAAGAGCCCCCCCGGCCCGGCAGACCCGCACCATGGGTAGGCGGGGGGGAGGAGAGGAAGGGTCGCTCGGGGTGGCGGGGGGGGAGCAACCCACCCACCCAAAACGCGCGCCCCGGCCGAGCCTCTTCTTCTTTTTTTTTTTGCCTCTCCCTGCCCAGCAGCCACTTTTCTCTCCGACTTGGGCCGCTTCCCGGGGCTCGCGGGCGGTCTTCCCTCCCAGGATCTTGGAGGGGAGGGGGTTCCCCAGCCGTGTGGGGGGTGGGGGTCTCCCGGGCCCCCCCCTTCCTCGAAGCCCGGGCCCCCCCCGCCGCGGACCCCTTTTTGGGCCCGCGCGCTCGGGTCCGGGACGAGAGATGGGAATCGAGTGGCAAACAACGGCGGCCATGTTGAGCCGAATGTCTGCGGCGAAAGTTCTCCCCGCGGGGAAGGAAGGAAAGAAATCAAAGGCCTGGCGGGGAGGGGGCTCGGGGAGCCCTGGGCGATGAGGGGGTGGGGGGTGGGGAGACCCCTGAGGGGAGTGGGAGGGAGGGGAGGGGAGGGGGAGACCCCTTGGCTGGCAGGCGCCGGGGGTTGTTTTTGGGGCTCTCCAGCCTCACCCTCTTCTTCCTCCTCCTCCTCTTCCTTCTCTTATTTTTTTTTTCCTTTTCTTTCCCTCCCCTCCTGCCAGGATGACAGTCAAGCTGGGTGACCACAGCAGCGGCGTTGGAGCCCCCGAGGAAGGCCTGAGGAAGCTGGGCAAGAGAGGAGCGGCCGGCGAGGAAGAAGGGTGCCCCGAAGAAGGAGGAGGAGGATGTGGAGGAGAAGGAGGAAAGAAGAAAGCCGAGGAGGAGGGGACCCCTCGAGGAGATACGAATGGGGGTCCCTCTTCGGGGGTCCCGGCTTCGCCCCCGGCTTCGTCGTCCGCATCAGGACCGCCGCTGCCACCGCCGCCGCCAGCCCCCAGCCACGACCAGCATCACTTCCTCCGGTCCAGCGTCCGGCCGCAGAGCAAGAGGCTGAGGAAGGATCCCCAGGTGTCCTGCGTGGCGGCCGTCGGCGGGATGGGCGGCAGCGGGGGCAGCGCGGCCCCCACGGGAAAAGGAAAAGGTGGGTGGTACGTGCAGACCGCCGCCACCCTCGTCAGCCTGGACGTGGGTCGCACGTGCAGGACGTCGGGCCGTCACAGCCGATGGTTCGTGCAGGAAGAGAAGCCGGGGTGAACCGGCACTTTGGGAGTGGACCCCCGAATGTGTATTATGGGGGTTCAGGTGATTTGAAGCATCGTTCGTCAGGCTGGGCTGTTTTGGGGTTTGTTTGTTTTTTGCCCCACCCCAAATTGATCCGGTGACAGTCAAATCCACCCAGAAGTCTTGGATTCAAATTAGGAAATCCATTTAGATTGGGAATGTTGCTTGGTTGTGCTATTCCTGCTGCTTGCCTTTTTTTTTATATAGTGATTTTGGTTTGTTTTTTTAATCTTCCTTGGGTGCTGGAGGTTTAAGTTGGCCCACTCTCAGGTCTGAATGGCTCAAGAATTTAATTGATTGATTACTGTGATGATCAGCCTTGATAATCTTAGAAGCAGCCTCCTTGAAAAGCCTCAATCTGATCTTTTGGATCAGCTGCATGGTGATTGAGTTCCATTGTGGATATCTAGCATCTGGAGTCCCTGGGCACGGTCTGGTTCCTAGTCAACAAATGAGTCTCGATATTTTCTTGTCCATTTTCAAAATATTGTTTTTGATGCTTTCCGAGTCACGAAAAGAGAAGCCGTTTGAATGGATCCGATGTCTCTAGATTAGGAATCTCTTGATCCATTCTTTGTTGTCTTTAATTGATGGGTTATATGAATTTCTGAACGAGAATCAACTGAGTTAGGATTTTTTTTTTTTGTAATCAGTGTTTGATTAGAGCGCAATTACAAGACATTTCTATGGATTTAATTATTCCAGTTTTCTTTTATTAACCAGTCGCATTTATGAATCCTTAGGATGTCTTTAAAATGGCCTTCACAGGGTCCTTTTATTAAAAGTGTTTTCCCAGATGAACTAGTGTATTCGGTGGGAGAAATAAATAGCTATAGAGATGTCATTAGAGATGGTTTGTTTTAGACAAACTTCTACAACTTTGGAACATTAGTTTAGGGAATCAAAATTATAGAATCCTTTATGGCATATTTTTGGCAGTAGGGCAGAAAATGTTGATGCCACATCAGATTTGACTTTAATTATTTTTGAATAACATATAGTAAGTGGTTTCATACATAATGCAGTGATTTGTGGAGTTTTATCCTCAAAACAGGATTGTGTGAATCCATCCAGTTGTCAGTTATTCAGTGAAGGACAGTTAAATATATCATATTTTAACATGATATACTAAATTTGTCAACGCTAAATGAAACTTCAGCATTGTTTCAGCAAAGAAACGCCACTTTATTATCCTTTGCGCTACTGTAAACATTTGTACTCACACTCACTTATTCCCTGAAATTCTTTTATCCTAATGCTATAGCCAGAACAGCTAATAACCACTTGGTGTAAACATGTACATCTAGTGAAAGTGAAATAGATATCACAAAGTACCTTTGCTTTACCTGTTTATAGGAAGTGCCTACTTCCTTATATGGACCTGTCTTTTTGGAATGCAACATTTCACTTAGATGTACCTTTTGACAGTCTGAGATTGATATATATGTAGTTATTAATTTCAAGAGAAGCATTTGTCATATTCAGTATCCTAGATTGATCTAGTTCCTACAGTTAAAGTTAGGGAAAGATATTGTTTTTGACAACATGGACATGGACTTCTGTTCCCAGAATTCCCCAGCCAGCATGCCCTTTACAGAGAATTGCGGGAATGGAATCCTAAGTGGGAAACCCAGGTATAGACGAGTGCAGATATTTTTTTCCAAAGTGCTGGATGGAAAATTTTCATTGGCTACCTAATCCTCCTAACTGGAGCCTAAATCTTGAGTTTTCTGCAAGCAGAGTCTGTACTGCACAATTGAATTCAATAAATTTCTGCAGAACTCATCTTGGAATGAACGGAAATTCTACCATACTGGGGAGTCCTCAGTGCTCTCTGAGCTTAATTGTTTTCTTGCAGACCTTTTATTACCTAACTAGGTAACATCATCAGTGCCTGGAAGGAAGTGGGATTTGCGGAGTGGAGGAGGAGGACGTTGAGGTCCTGGGTGCTCTCTGAACTTGGTTATTTTCTTGCAGACCTTTTATTACCTAACTAGGTAACATCATCAGTGCTGGAAGGAAGTGGGATTTGCGGAGTGGAGGAGGAGACGTTGAGGTCCTGGGTGCTCTCTGAACTTGGTTATTTTCTTGCAGATCTTTCATTAGGACCATCTTCTACCATAGCACGACTGTGTGTTAATGCAGCCTTATTTTCGTAACAACATGGCTAGGAATGTATGAAGTTGGAGCTTGTTTCTCATCCTTCAGATAAATATAGTGAAAGGGGGGGGGAAGTCTTACTTTTTTTCAACAGAACAACATGCTTCAGCAGTTGCAAGAACAGCCAGGAAAGTGCTAATATTTCCACATGCCTTTGATGTGTGGGTCTGTTAATGAAGTACGCGAGTTTAACTATTTTGAATTTCGGTTGTAGACAGACGGAGGCAATGACCAGTATTTAACAATGAAACACATCTGGTAAGAGTGTAGGAGGTATGGGAAAAATAGATAAATGGAGGCATGGCCTTTTGATCTCATTTCAAGTTCTTTGTGAAGAAGTTGAACTATAATTTGGGAGACTTAATGATTGTCCCTGTTTGACCCTTGAGAGATCAGCAGGGACTTTGAGCCAGTCAGACCCTGTCAATCTTCTTCACAGGTGTGCTGTGGGAAAAATAGAATAGAATTCTTCATTGGCCAAGTGTGATTGGACACACAAGGAATTTGTCTTTGGTGTATAAGGTCTCAGTGTACATAAGGAGAATAAAATACATTCATCAAGAATAAAAACATACAACACTTAGTGATAGTCAAGGTAACTAATCTATCAAATTGTACTAGGAAACAAATAAAAACAATATAAATTGAAAGATACAAGCACAGTCTTAGTAAATTATTTGATAGTGTTGTGGGAATTAGTTAAGCAGTGTGATGGTATTCGGGGAAAAACTGTCCTTGTGTCTAGTTGTTTTGGTGTGTAGTGCCCTGTAGCGTCTTTTTGAAGATAGAAGTTGAAACTATTTATGTCCAAGATGCGAGGGGTCTGTAGATATTTTCACAGCCCTTGTGCAGTATACAGGTCCTCAGTGGAAGGCAGGTTGGTAGCCATTGTTTTTTCTGCAGTTCTAACTATCCGTTGAAGTCTGTCTTTGTTTTTGGTTGCAGAGCCAAACCAGACAGTTATGAAGGTGCAGATGACAGATTCCCAAATCCCACCTACGCCACTTTCCACTGCCAGAGAAATGGAAGGAAATAAATGCAATGAATATGCCATTTCCATTACTACTGTAACTTGTACACAGGCAAATATTGGATCAGAAATCTTTCAAGTGAAGCTAATGACAGTAAGGTTATTCGGTATCTGTACCAGTAGGCCATTTTGGTGAGATAAGGAAAGGATCATTGCCAACATCCTACTCCTCTCTAAAATTTCAGTGGTACTCTTTTCTTGCATGCTGGTTAACTGGAATAATTTTGGTTTAAGTGCTTTGTTGTAAAGGATATTGCTTATTTTTAAGGGGAATTATTTCCCAAAATACATTTGAGATCTTACCTTGACATTAACGAGAAGCGTTCTGGAGGCAAAGTAGGAATGGAAGCCCTATTTGGCAAATCCACATGATTCATTCATACAGGATAAATAGCAGAAATTGTAATTTCTTGCCCCAGCGTTTCTAGTGTTGAAATTTGAGCCAAGATCTAACATAGACTAGAGTTTCTAGATACATTTTTTAATTTTTCTGGTGTATGTTTTTAAGGACATTCCTGTACCTGCAAAGACTGTTTCAAGACTTTACAAGTAATAGTTTTCAATTTTTAAATTGTGTGGTATTGGTAGAGTTACTAAAAGACTTGTTATTCCTTTTTATAGGCATATAAACTCCCAATTTACTAAGGTTTTATATATATGGCATGATTATCGTCATTATTACCTTGGCATTGCTCCATTTCTAGCTGATTGTGCTAGCACAGCATTCATGTTGTTGCTGTTAGTTGCGAAGTCATGTCCGACCCATCGCGACCCCAAGGACAACGTTCCTCCAGGCCTTCCTGTCCTCTACCATCCCTCTTAAGTCCATTTAAGCTTCAGTGACTCCATCCAGCCACCTTATTCTCTGTCGTCCACTTCTTCTTTTGCCCTCAATCTTTCCCGGCATTAGGCTCTTCTCCACTGAGTCCTTCCTTCTCATTAGGTGGCCAAAGTATTTTGAGTTTCATCTTCAGGATCTGGCCTTCTAGAGAGCAGTCAGGATTGATCTCCTCTAGGACTGACCGGTTTGATCGCCTTGCAGTCCAAGGGACTCGCAGGAGTCTTCTCCAGCACCAGAGTTCAAGGGCCTCCATTCTTTGGCGCTCAGCCTTCCTTATGGTCCAACTACAACTTAAATACTTATAGTTAACTGAACTATGGCTTACTTAACCTAGCATCTGGACTTTTCATATCCTACCCAAGTCAACCACATTGACTAGATCCATGTATCATTTTTTAATTTAGGAGAGGAAGACTGTAAGGCACTTTGGGGGAAAGATGGGGAAAATCCGAGGCTCAGTGTGTTGTGTGATTGCACCCATCGTGGGCCACGTGAATGGTCAGTCCCTCTGAATAGACAGGTATTTGATTCTGGATTGAGCATTGTCTGCCTAATTTTAGGTATGTTTATTTAGAAATTAATTCTTGTTTGGGTTCGTTCAACATACTAAGCGACATTGTGGTTTGCTTAATTTGGGTTTAGTTTGTTGTGTGACGTATCTACTGTGATTTATTCAATCAACTGGTTTATTCGTTGTGTGAAGCCTGGCATTAAATGGAATAACCCAATATTTGTGCAAGTGTATAGTACAGTATAATACAGGGACACAGTGGCTCAGCGGCTAAGACGGTGAGCTTGTTGATTGAAAGGTCGGCAGGTCAGCGGTTCG